TGTGGGAGGACAAGCACCATGGTTTTGGGGTCTGCTCCGCCGTTTTCTCCTTTTTGGGCCTTAGTTGGTCGGCAACCAGCTGATTTTTCATCTGAGACTAAGCCCATAGGGATGCCCAGATTTTCAAGTGCCCAGTTTGAATTTTCCTCCCCCATAGGCCATGAGCGCCTACAAGAATTCGTATACAGAATTTGTATTCTATCACAAACTCAACACTGAAAAAAAAAACAAGGGCACTAACTCCGCGAAAAGATGAGGGATAAGATCAAAGCTTACGTCAATTGCGCAGAATTAATATGAAACCTTTCTGAACGCATAGAATCATATCGTATCATCATTTATCAGTAGCCAAAAATCAGAAGTCTTCTGCTCAACGGGAGTAAAAGGTAGGTTTCTCAACCTTGGGGTAATGTTTGTTTCATTTTGAAGAATGCCAAAAAAGTAGGATTTCCAAGGTAGAATCGACAATCTCGAATGGTTCCGATTTCGTGGGTTTCGGTTTCGCGAACAAAATTTTTACGACCGCTAAATCATATTCGAACATCTGTCGACTTCTAAAACCTAACACTGTTCCACAAGGCTCTTAGCGATAATATATTTTCACCTTGTGGCGTTTTTTATACCTTAAAAGAAAATTGGAGGAATGCGGTTGTATTTCATTTCTTTCGGATAGGATTACGGTAGTTTTATGCACGATCGTAATACTAGCAAATGGCATTTGCAGCGAATATGTAAAAACGTATTAAATGGATTGCATGGTAAAGCCTGAAAATCTTAGTATAGTTTCCTGCACCTGCTCTGAATGGCAAGGGACACCCACCTTTGAGACTCAGGAAATCAAAATAAGCCTGCATTCTTGCTTTCATTTTTTTTTACTTTCGGATCATTCCTCTTTCAGGCGCGGAATCTTTGGCCTTTTGTTGAAGAAATGTTGAATTTTGCGTAGAGCCAGCTGATCTTCGTCAGAAAATGCCTTAGTACCCCTCAGCACGCAACATACTCAATAAAGCGTGGGATTTGTGCTCCGACGCATCGGCTAAATGCCAGCTCTGTTTCTTTTGGCAATTCTCTTAATTCTATGTATGATTGGGTAACTAGCTAGAAGCTTTGAGACTATTTGTTTATAACTTTATTCAATATCGGTAAACAACAACTTCAATCAGCAACATGGTAAACATCAATAGTCGAAGCCTTCCCCTTCAGTTGAGCAGAATATGCATCTCTGCTCTCCAAAAATCAGGGAGAGTCCGGTAATCCCGAAGCCATCAGCGGCCGTTTGCAAAGACCGTTAAAATTTCTTGGATGCCCTGATAATGGCGTCACGAGTAGGGCATTGTCAGGGGTATCTAGAAATTTACTCAGTTTGCTCTCAAACGAATTTGGCCTACAAATGAGCGAGTCAAGATGATCCTTACATTCGTCCTGCTCAAATTTCTCACATTTCACATCTCGAATTCAATTTCGACATTCGTCCTACTCGAATTTCCTTAAGCCTGGGAATTGACCGACATATCGGTCGGTGACTCACATATTTTAAACCCCTCCTATTCGGAAGCAGTTGTCCAGAACTCGTATCGTTACCGTAATCCGTTTTCTGAAAGCTGTCACTGGATTGTGGCTCGCGACATCACCCTCGAAGTGAACTTTGACGTACACTGAAGTGAAGTTGAGAATTCAAATAATTCGAACCTTGTCATAGTCAACCTCCTCCTCCCTCGCCTCGTCCTGATCCCTCAAGAAGTGTCAAGAGCAGGACGTGCATGTACAGCAGAGGTAGTGAAGCATTCGGATGCCCCTTCCCAGTGAAGTATAGCTTGTCTGGTAGATACGGATTTCTAATTTGCTTGAAGCCCTGCTCATCGGCAATTGCAATACACTTTTGGTTAGATTTGGCACAATTAACGGCTTCGTAGTAGCTCTAAGAAAACGATTTTTATGTCAGACCAGCCATTGGAAAACCACTAACGATCACCCGAACATCACACGTCTAAGATAAGGAGTAGCTCCCAACTAAAACGATTATATCAGTATCTTTGTTGACGACTGCGACCGGCATCGTTCCATCATCCTCTGGCACGCGTCTGACTCCAGTTTTGCAAGACGAGGAGAGGAAAAGGTGAGAGTGACAACGAACAGCCGCCCGCACAGCGAAAGTGTCACGATCGAGGCTCAAGTGATTTTTGACGGCTCACGGCTGACATGGACAGAATCCGTTCATAAGCACGCACTCAAACCTTCACCGCTTGAAGATTCATCAGAGCTTCACAAGAGCTCGGGGGTGAGAAGAGCCATGTAGTAGACTGAACTTCAGAGAAATTGGTCTGAATTGGGGATAATTCGCTCAGGCACATGATCGCGATTAACGAGCTCACAGAAACTTGCAGGGGGGGGGGGCGTGGGAGAAGAGCGAGAGAGCTAGTATGTGATGAAACAAGCCTTTCAAATTACTTGAATTCTTCCTTTTTCCTAGAACGTCCGCATCACAACTAATTTTGCTGCGCGTCAAGGTTTTTAATTGATTTAAATAATTCAGTTGACCCAATGAAAACAATAAGTCAGACTAGAGTGACTCAATAAGTGAGGACCTAAATTGAAAACAGTCCATGTTCGACCTCCTTGCAATCTTGGCATTATTGGTTCAGCAGGAGAAGTTCAATCTTGGAAAGCTTAAAGAATCGTTCCTGCTGAAATCGAAAACATTTCCTCGGGACCCAGTTAGCAACAGCTGCTGGAGCTGAATAGCGCCACTCCTATGTGAGTTGTAGTTAGCAAGTGAAGGAGGATTGACCTTTCAGAAATACGATCCACTCTGAATGTCAGGCTACTGATGAGTCTTCTACCTAGAACCTTATTGACACAGAAAGCGCATAAATTGAATCCCACCTCTATCACAAGGCACCAAGAATTCAGTTGAGGGAAAACAATCCGGCTCTCTTGTGATCTCTACACGAACTGTAACCCACATTATAGTTCTTACGCGCCCAGGGCCCCATTCAGTCCAGAAGAAGATGAGCTACCGTAAGATATGAAATATAAAGAATGTTTCACAATAAAGCTGGGTTGTGTACAAAACCTTCGCCTCGAACGGGACACCAATCCCCAAAGAAAGTGTGGAGAATGTTTCAGGAAAGGTCACATTTCAATTTAACAGTGAGGGATGCTGTTGCGTTTTCGAAATACGACTTTTATACTGGATGGTTTTTAAGCTTTTTAAGTCCAGAAACGAGCGCTAGGAAATGAACTAGACCAAGTTTCAGAAATCCTAACAGGGGTAAATCCTACGAGGTTTTCTCACGAGCAATGGTACAAACCTAACAATAGTGGAAAGTAGCGAATCAGTACTTCACCTAGCTACCCGCACCTTGCTTGCAACTTTATGCAAACAACATGAAAGATTCGATACTATGGCAAAGTTAAGTACTCTAGGCATCGTCACTCCAGTTGCACAGGTTTCACTGAGAGGCGGAGCTACATAGAGGAAAGGGGAGGGGCAGGTTTAAGAGCAGACCTAATTGCGCCATTTCGAAGCGTTTTTTTATTTCACGATAAAACGCCACAGATTGCCCCTCCTGACAGCATGTGATCCATTTACTGTCCCATCACCGTGCACAATCAGCTGCTGTCCCAGCCCTAATGGTGAGGCGGGATGGTGGCGCAGTAACGGCGCGACTGGCAACAACGTGTGATTACCCGGCACGCTCGGTCGGACATTCATTCAGCAGACGAACCAGCGTTCTCGTACGTAGTCGCCTGTGACTCCACCCGATTAATCGCCTCGTATTCTGTAAACACAAAGCGATAAAGAGCCAAGAGGCATTTGTGTGCCGTCGATGATATCCCCACTCACGTCCTGCTTCACACCTCAGTTCAACAACAACTGCGGTCCGATGGTAAGTGCATCTCGTGGCGCCCCCGTACGACAGCTTCTCACATTTTTTGCCTCGTCACTAGCACTTTCTTAGCCTCACATTTTCGCTTTTTCACAGCAGCCAATCAATAACACTAGTATGAAAATTCAGCAATTTTCTCGGCATACTAATGAAACATTGAGAGAAAGTGGAGCGCTACCGCAGGATAGGGGAGAGGTGGAGTAGAGGGTGGCGTCCTCAAACAGTTAAGGCTAGGAAGCAGCAAAGGAGGAACCCGCCGAGTAAAACCTTAGGCCACAAGATCCGGAGCCTGCCTCACTCGCTCCTGACAAATGTCCTCGAAATGCACACCGGAAAAAAACTTGACTTTCGTCCGTTTTGACTGGCTATTGTTGTGGCCGCAACCACCACGCGCGGTCCGGGGATCAAATCCTGGGTCGTGAGTCGCCCGGGCCAACCAAGCCTTCCATCCCTCCGGGGTCGGTTAATTGGTACCAGACTTGTCTGGGAGGATAAAAACACTGACTTGTACATCGGCTGGCCCCCGCAAGTCATTGTATAGGCCACATCGCATTCAAACGCCACTGCGAATGTACAAATGGAAGTAGAATGCGTGCCGCATCCCAAAAAGGGATTGATCAACGGCAAATGCTTTATCCTTTATCCTTTTATCCCGATTTGCGAAATTATTCCATGAGAATGCTGGGTTATAGGCAATATTCTTCGCCCCAAGAGAAAATCAAACTTGCACTTCTCGCTACCCATACCATTAAAGCCTTTTTATACCATCAGAAGCTTGGCCAATAACCAAGAGCCAGCCACCGGTGCCGCGGTGGTGTGATGGGTAGCACAACTACCTGGGCAACGAGAGTTGCGAGTTCGATTCCTGCTTGGGCCGAAGAGTTTTGCCCATAAGCTAAGCATTCCTGCAATGGTTTCTTAATAGAAAGAGCTTGCTACGCTAGTTGCATTGAATGCGCAATTCCCCCCCCCCCCCCCTCCCCCCTTCACCCTTTCCCGCCACATTTCCCTTGCCATAGCGCCCAAAAGAGGGTGAAAAATTACAAGGCGCACCCCTCTGATGGGCGACCTTCTTGCACAGTTTGTATTTTCCATTGCTTTTCAGACACCATGAAACCTCGAGGGGCCGATCTCGCGCTGAATTTGTCTTTTGCACTTTTTCTGGCTCTTTTTCTGTTTATCGCTGATGCCGAAATGCCTGAGGTCAAAGGCTTTTCAGCGCTGTTGTCCCATCAGGAAGAACTGAGAGAGTGAGTGTCAAATAACTTTTTTCAGGGCTGTATTCTGTGCCCGAACCCGGACACATCCAGCGCTTACAATACCGGTGGCGAGAGTTGTCGTTCGAATTCCATCACACCTGACGGAACCGTGAAAAACGCCTCCACAATTGACCGCGCCGTAAGTGATCTAACTCTCGCTCTGGTAATTGCACCATTCTGCCAAGATCACCGTAGTTGCCAATAGTACGATTTTCAGGGCGCCTGCAGTGGAGCCAATGCCGATGCCCACTGGCGTGCCGCCCCGTTCACCTCGACAATTGCATCGGTCGAAGAATATGCCGCTTTCGCCAACAGTGGAAAGCGTTGATGATCAGGCAAATGTTGGCGCCGTTCGAACACCTGCATCGAGGCGGAACAGCAGGCATCGTGAGTGGCCTCGGCTGTTTTTTATTGCTGCTTAAGCTCAAATAAAATCCAGTCGTTTTGTGAAGTCTTTGATCAAAATTTACACCTCCTAGGCAGCCTAAGAATAAACATTAGCTGAGAGAACACGTGGCACGCAAGCTGAAGTTCAAAGCCATGTTGTAAGACCACAAAATGTCGAGCAATGCACTTATGACCTTGATACCCTGAAATACTACTTTGATGAAAAAGGTCCAACATCATAAGAAGTGTTCCTGCACCCTTCTGCACGGTCCATGGGCTGGTGTCTGGTCCATTACAGCAGTCTTTTAACCCTTTTGGGCCTACAGTGGTAACAGTCTTGTTTCGAGAGCAAAACTTTTTCGACTTCACTCAGGAACAAGCTGACCTCCCTAAGTGGTGTTGTAAGTGTAACTATTTAATTAAATTATTTATAGGCCTCATGGCCTTATGGGGGCATTCGAAACAGTTGAAACAGAGCACTAAAAAACTGCTGATGACACTAGGACTATCCCCAAGAGAAACGCTAGGGAGAAGAAAAGTAGCTCGCATTAACCCTTCCCCTCCCTAATTATTTGTAGGCCCCATGACTTTATGGGGGAGGGCATTCAAAACAAGACATTTAGGCTTGGTCCCCAGCACTGTAAGTAGCTCGTTCACTTCAATATCCTCCCCCGCCCCCTACCAACGAGGTGATGAATTCGAGCACCAAATTCGCCAAAGCGCCAAATATAACTCGATTGAACTGTATCCTTGAGATGTCCAGCGCTATGTCCGCGCGAGCGCTACTATCCTTTACATTCGCTTTATTTGCTTTATAATTCTTATATTTGGCGTCAAAACACATGAAAGGGGATTTAGTGCTCAAAAAGCCCTGAACAGTTTTGATAACTGCGATCGTAACAAAAATAGGTTAGGGTACGGTTCGTTATGACGTTAAGGAGATATCGTCTGTAGCATGTTTTTTACATTGCGCCACGCACGCTATTTCATTCTGAATCGTAGCCTCCTTAAAATGCGCAATTGGCCTCTACAATATTCCACCGATAACATCCAATGTGGAATCCGCTATTCTCAATCCCTAGACGAGGGCACCCCTTAACCAAGCTCGCTTGGGTTGAAGCTTGGTACGTAGGAGAACGTTGATCTAGTGTTTGATCGCTGTACCTTTCGCCGATCGCCCACTTTTGCCACTTTCTCGATCTGTTCCTACAAATGGTATGCCCACTGGCACATGGTACTGTATTGATTGATGATTCCCGGCAGTCGAAATATCGGCTTTTCCCTGCTCCCATCGAAAAATTTCATTGGAGTCATTTCGTTGGAAAAAAATCTATTCGAGTGTTGGGCTTTTGAAGGGAGTTGCTGCGGCTTTGTTGTGATTTCTGTGGATTTATGGCCACTTTTTGAGAAAGCCCACTAGCACTAGCATCGATTCCTACGCTTTCTCCTTCCCATTCGATTCGTCATTTTCAATTGATCAATTAATCACCAGAGCAAGGGCTAGCTGATCAATCACGCGATAGCCGTCAATTCAACGCGCAAAACTTGACATCATGCGCTCAGGGCAAATTCCACGACTGCTTTAGTGTGGTGATGGTATTCCAGGAAAAGGTTCAGAAATGTGGCGGTGATGGGTCTACCGTGGAAAAGAGAAAGAAAACTGCATATTACGGAAGAAAGAGTAGGATGGGCGGCGATCAAAGCTTGCAAAGTTTTTAAGGGCGCATAGCAGATTCTTTTGCCTTCTTTATGATATTTAGACCACCTGCTGAATTTCCCCTCTCGTGCTTAATTGCCTACATCTATGCAATCGCAGAATGTGCTTGCAGCGAGTGCATCCCGACGTTTGACGATTTCAGATCCGAAAGAAGTTCTGGAACTTCCAAATCGTCTACACACTCCTGGTTATGCGGACGAGATCCCTAATTCGTCGGCAGTCGACACACCGATACCAACACGACGACGTTTCCCTCCGCTCCAGATCTCTGCCCACAAAGGACAGTTTAGCATGTGCTAAACGGTTTAGGACTGAGGCCTGAAATGGCAACATCCTACAGTCCCTGATCAGATTACCACGAATCCGTTTGGGATGGCTTCAGCAGAGGAAGCTTTCTGTAATCAATTCATACGATTAGCCGGGTGCGTAGGAGAAAACGATCTCAGGTAGTAACCAGTAAAGCTCTCTTATGGGCATTGATGAGTTCTGAAATGAGTTTAGCCCCATCTGCGAATCAAACATGAAAAGCAGGTGGAAAGGACCGTATATTAGCCGTGGGACTCAAAAAAATTGAAAAAATAATCTACTTTACTCACAATTTTCAATTCTTGGAGCCTCGCGTTTCCGAGACCGTCATTCTCGGCTGTCCGCAGGTTCCGAAAAAAATGGAGGTGCAACAAATGTTCTTTTGTGTTTGTTTCTTCTGCCGTTCGAGGTTGATAGGTGGAACATTTATTCAATCGGCCTAACGTTTCGACAAAATCGTCGTCTTCTGAGGCCTAAACGCGGTTCAAGGTTAAAATTCACGATCTAATCCACCAAGCGCCTTATCTCCTCTAGCGGTTCCGACATTCCGTCAAGAGTCCCACCGAGAAACATCTTTTTGTATTCTTTTCCTTTTCCCGTGGTGAGTAAACTAGCCCAGTAATCTTTATATATTCGAGCACCACAGCCCAGCTTTCGCTAGGTAAATTCAGAGTTTGTGATCGTGCAAGCGATAAGGCGATTGGACGATCAGGCTACCAATCCCTGAAGAAAGGGATACGCATCGATTAGGCGATTATGCGAGTAGGCGATTAGGCAATCGTTCAAATAGCCGAGTGAACAAATCGACAGGTATCCTTATCTCATCTCGTAATCGGCTAATTGCGCATAAGATCGCCAACTATGAACGTCGTCTTATCGCCCGCCGTCAACTTTTCAACGTGACGCAGGTTTTCATAATAAACCTATTTCGTCACGGTTACATCCTTTGAAAGAATTGGTCGTTGTATATCGTATGGCTCGTGCACTACCGTGATCACGCACTGGTTTTGTTAAAGGAATCTTGCGCGGAAAAATCATGATTCTATTTCAGCCATAAATCACTGGCTTGAGACCCATTATC